GCGCGAGAATCGATACATGAACGAACGTGCTTCACAGCGAATATGCACGCAAGCAACAGCTGCTGTCGAACAGATCTGTTCACCAGCAGCAAATATATATGCAGCAGCTTCAATGCTCTGCTAAATCAAGCAAAATGCGTCATCTACGTGTGTGACAACAAGTTCGCTTTTTCATTGAGATATTGTGTGGTGCTCTGTCTACCTCTAATTACTATATAGGAAACATGGATAGAAATGTTGGAATGGATTGCATTGGGTTAAAATATTGAGTGTGAGAAAATACCGTATCAAAATCTATACAATACGATTCGATTGAGAAACGAGAAGCACTAATGTAAACAAAAACATTGTTTTTCACATCCAAAATTCAATTGAATGAAGAGTAAATGCAAGAATTGATACTAAATTTGTAGAACTATTTGAACAAACGATGGATCAATATGGAAAGCTTCATATGTACAGCACTTAATTCGACATGAGACGTGAAATGTTTTGATGTGGCAATAAAATAATGATGAAAACCCATTTCGGAAATGGCAAATTGAGTATTGTTCGCCGAGTTCCCAACAACGAAACCAAGAGAGCGCTTTAACGAAAATTCAGAAAGCAAGTGTGTGAGTGTGCATCAAATGCAACTAGGAGTGTCATGCATCAATTGTTGTTTTCGTTATTATTGTTTTTTTTTATCTATAATGCAAAAATATATAGTCATCTCTATATAACACGAACTTGGTGTTCAACTATAAATTCTGGAGTTTTGAGAATGCAGTGCGCGCGCGTGTGTGCGCGTGCAAGCATTTGTTTCATTTGTATTTCCCTGTATTGATCACGGTTGTTCATCAAATGAAATGGTAAAACGGAAACAAAACGAATTGCACTAGAAACGAACAGAACGAATGAACAGAACAGAACAGAACAAAACAAATGGTGTGGGTGTGTGTATGTGGTTTTGAAACAGCAAAACCAGACTATGCGTTGAATACCTGTCGATCCATCACATCCTTCAGCATGAGCTGAACATCCTGGTCCAGACTCTCCTAAGCGATATTCATATTATTATATAAAGACATTAGATTGGTCGTATGTTGTTTTAAAAGAAAGAAGTAGAAATTTTTTCTTTTGGTTTTTCATTTGGTTTGATCCAGCTACGAAAGTATGTGGTTTATGGTTTCCTTCTAATTAAGGATGAATTTCCAATTCGGTCTGTGTGTGTGTGTGAGTGAGTGAATGATTTTATATTGAAAAAATGAGGACACATCCGGCGTATATGTATATATTTATATATATATGTGTGTATATGACTGTTTGTTTTTCGTGTGAGTGTGTGTGTGTGTGTCTAAGAAAAAGCACTAAATTGCATCTAAAAGTAAACACATCATTTAAGATTGCGGAAGTAATCTAATAAAAAAAAAATCGATGTAAAAAACATAAATTGGTGTTCAAACCTATTGAATGAGATGTACAAAAGGTATTTGCGCGTACATGATTTGAGATCAATCAGATAGTAACAGTTTGACGGTTTGAATATTTCTGTTCGATTATTTCATTGCTTCTTTTTTTTTTCAAATTCAAAATAAGTCTCACGCAATTTGAAACCGATGATCGAAAGGAAGTTGCATTATTAGTCTTTCTTTTCGCTTTGGTTTTAATCGTTTCTCTAAGGTTTCAGATCAGATTTGATTACGGAAATTCTAATGCAATCAATTTCGCCTGATATACTCTAATTAATTCGATAAAAAAACCAACATAAAATGGCAAACAACAGCAAATATTCATCGCTATACCAAATACTCCACGTTTTGAACAGAAGTGAGAGAGAGAGAGAGAGAGAGAAAGAGAGAGGGAAACAAAAAAAACATAGCTACGTATTGGTTCTACACATTAATGTTGCTGTTTTTTCTCTTCTTGTAGTTAAGGGAAGGTAGGTAGGACGAGTAGGTCGTTTTTTATTACGTTCTAAGGACGACAAAAATTATTAGCTACGGCGGATAACCACGGTTTTGTTTTATTTTCGTTTCGTTTCGTTTTGCTTGATACTTTGTTGTTGTTGTTGTTGTTGTTGTTGTTGTTGTGAACTAGCAACAGCCCCTAAGCATTCATATTCTAATCAAAGTACAAAGACTCTGTTCGAAACAATAAAGGATCTTCTTCTTCTTCCTCCTCTTTTTTTGGTAACTTCACACAGAATCACCATCAAACAAGAAATATTCCCAATGAAACATTGCGAAAATGAGAGAGTGAGTGGGATCAGAGAAAATGAGTGGGATCCATCTTGATGCCCGCTTTTTTGTTTTTGTTTTTGAAGTTGACCCAAAATGTATTATGGCTAGAGCGCTGTCAGTTTTAATTTCATCAAATGTGTACAACTACTGTGCAGTGTGCATTGTTCATTTTCTCTGAGCATTCCGCAGGCGGTGTGTGTATGTGTGTAATTTCACTGAATGAAAAACGCCACACTGATGATGACTGTGTCACGGTCTCAAAGTCACTACAAATATTTAATATTACATTGTGTAAGCGCGCGCGCGCGCTTGTTTTATCAAACGTTTATTCGTACGTTCCTCCATTCGTTGCGTTGTCTTTCTATGTACAAAGCAATTTTGTGTGTCACATTTAACTAAGAAAATTCTCTTAATCGTTGTGCTGATACCTTGTTTAGTGTGTGTGTGTGCGTCGCATCACAAAAACCCGACATTCCCATTGAACTATTAATATTCATTATTAGCCCAGTAAGAAGTATACCGTATATGAAGATGGAATTTGATGAGAAGGAGACAGAAAGCGATAGTGTGTAGAATTATAATTTCATATTAACATAACAACACCAATTACACGATTCATTAGGTTCAATTCAGTGAATCGTTCGAGTCTTGAAACATGGTAATTTTGTATTGTGACTGTGCCAAATGAACAACAATATGACAAAAGACGGAGAGAGAGAGAGAGAGAGAGAGAGAGAGAGAGAGAGAGAGATAGATAGATAGATATAAAGTCTAACTGGGATGTTCCTAGGTAAACTGGTTTTGGTGGAATGGTCTGGTTTCATAATAATTATCATATGCGCCCTGAACTGTCCGGATTAATATGACCAGATGTGACCTCTTTATTCGCTCTTTTTTTCGTTCTACAATAGCTTTACCCATGAGGGAATTTGAGCGAAAGAGAGGGAGATGGAATTCGAGGCAAAAACTCTTTTTACTACCTTCAATGAAATTCCACTCATCAAATGCATGTATAATTATTATCTACTCTACGCTCAGAAAGTTTTGTGACTCAATTAGGTCTTTGGTTCGGCATGGAATTAAAAGCAATAGCTGCAGTGCATGTATTGCCTTAGAAAACACTTGAAATTGTCATTGGCTCTAATCCATTTAAAAGTTTTACCGAACATTTTCTAAGTCAAACTATTTCAGAGAGAGAGAGAGAGAGAAAGAAAAAAACGGTAAGGGTGGTTGGTTGGTTGGTGGGTGGCATGGTAGGTATTAATAGAGGCTATACTAACTGCATAATTTTGTTTCGCATGAATGATGAGATGTGAGCTAAAGAAACTGTTTGTCGCTGAGATGCGCTCTACTTTCTTCATAATTTGGTACTTACCTTGTTCCTGTCGTTTGTCGATCGTTTGACATGCTATACGCCATTCCTGTAATTCGGGTGATGGTATCAATCCGGCCGATCCACCAATTGTGTCATGTCGGGCTTGCCACCAATGATGATCATCTTTGCTAATAATCTAAACCAATTACAACGGGACGAAATAATGTGTGTGTGATAGAAACAAAACTAAGTCGATTCTTTTGTTTCGTTTGGGAAAAGATTCGAAGTTTTCTTCTTTTGATTTTTAATTAATGGAATTGTTTCGAAAGACTCGAAAAAAATGACATAAAACAGTGCTCGTAATAGGTAGCTGGTCAGTCAATAAGGTACGACACCAGTTAGTGTGATATGGACGAATTTGTCACTGCCAAAATTTTGCAAAAGAAATAAACTCAAGCGTACTTTCGAAATTTCAAAGAAGAATTGGAAAAAATGGATCACGAAATGAACAAATTCGAAATAGAATGAAAAATGAAATTGATAAAGAGAAAAATGTCGAAAAAAATGTATTTACTTGTAGAATATCACCGGTGCGGAAGGCAATTCCAGCCTGGGCACATGGAATCAGCTCATCGTCCAGTGGATCGTAGTCAAATTGAGCACGTACGAATATCTAATTAAAGAAAGAATACACAAATTCAAGAAAGAAATAGAGTTGACCCCATTGAGTTTATTCATGAAAGCGTTGCAAATACGATGAATAATTGATAAAAAAAACACACAGAAAGAGATAAAGAGAGAACACAATAATAAAGTCGTTAGTTAGTTGAAAGTGGAAAAGAGCGAAACCAAAAAAAAACGGACGAAATGTTAAAATGAAATAAACGACAACTAAAGAAGGTCGGTCTAGCAACCAGAATACTATTTGTTTTTTTTTTTTGCATGAGTGAGTTAAAGTACTTACTAATACAGGTGTTGGTTTAATCCTGAAAAGCTGTGGTTTTTCGAATACAGACAACTATTAATTTAACGGTTTTAGTTTTGATGCATGAACAAGAATTTTAGTTGTTGTTTTTGTTTTTGTTGGAGAATGGTACAAAGTGTTTGTTATGTCTATATAAATATTACTCATGTTGATCGTAGTAACTAAGTTTTCGTAAACATCTTCAACATTAAATGCAAAAAGACGAAGTTTTTGAGTGAGCAGAGGAGAAGAGAAAAAAAACAGCTGCCCTATTTTGCTTGTGTGCAGAGAAATTCTAATTTATTGACGAACTTTTGCCTCGTTTAAAAAGTTGTGAATTTGTCATAATCCCATCTCAATGCCATCTACAGCTAGATTTCTCGCACTAGTCTATCAAAATTCGTTGAGGATGGGGATGGGGATGGGGATGAATGGATGCATTGAGCGAAAAGGAAAGCAACATCGAATGGAGTGCCAATTTATAACAAACTAAAGCGCATTTTAAACTTAACAATTTGGCACTAAGCGCACATCACATTGCTCAATGTTGGCTAAATTAACATTAGAATTAAAAATTAACGTTTATCCCAAATTAAAAGCCAGCAGTTGCAACAGAGCAACAGCAATAAAAAATACAGAGAGACGGTTGATGTGTATGCACACACAAACAACCTAATACGAAAATAACTTGATGGTTGTTTTGAAACCCAAACATTTCTTGGAATGTTGACATTTTGTGCGCACAACGTATGCCGCTATTCTGAAATTACATCGCAATGGCTGGATTTGTGTGCATTTTCACGTCTATTATGCACATCAAATGCATAAAATAAGGACATGCAATGACAAGAGAATGAAGATAGAAAGAAAAACTCGCACAACAACGGCAACAGCAACACAACCAGCCTAACTTTTCAGTGTGCTTGCTCTAAATTTTAAATGGCTTTTATATGAAATTTTGATAATGTTTGTGGTTAGATGATTTTCCAACATTTCCACGGATTTTGCGATAGATGTTAACCATGACGGATGGATGAAGTTAAATGCAATAATGTAATTATGAACGTGCGCGCGCGCGAGCTCGCGCACTCACTCAACTCGATTAGATGAATTTTTTTTTACAAATGTGTCAACAGATTCGTACATATATGAATGAACGCGCGCGCGCGCGTGAGAGTGCAGGCCATTTAATCGCATATTTATTGAGTTCAGATAGAGGTGTGAAATTGGATTAGTTAACTCAAGTGAGAAATATATGAGCTTATTTATATAATAATAAGTGAACACATACTTGAAATGGTTAACCACTGATTGGTTTTTCGTTGATAAAGTGTACGATTCGAAATTTTGAGTTGATATATAATTATCATTAGTTATTTGACCCCAAAAACCATTAAAACGTTTTGCGAATAGAGAATTAAAAATCGGATTTGGAAAATGAGTTGATAATGGATAAAATTAATCATGATAAATGTATTGTTATTTAGAATGATTGATTTCTAAGCCAAAAATATGAAGTTGAAGTATTGAACAGGTTTAGCGAATATTGAATATGCAAACACCAGGGAAAATGGGATGGGGGAATTAGTGTGGAACATAGCATGAAAGTCCATGTAACGGAAATTCTGCAACGAAAACGGTAGCAATACACTTACCTCACATGGTGGCGGAGCACTTCGGTATGATGGAACTATTTTGAAGGTTACAGATCCGCGAGCATCCCGCTTAAATACCAGCAAACAAAAAAAGAGGCAAATAAAAGAAAGAATTCGTAAACAATTGGTTAGATTTCCGTTCCATTGGTATGTCACCCGTAATGGCACAATTGAGGCTGTGAGAATGAATATGGCAATACAGGAATAAACATTCTGAAGCGCATCAAGAAAAAAAAATTCGCAAAAGTGAATCATGAACCTCCTTTGCTGCCCATGTAAATTCATGTTTCACTTTTGAGTATTCAGATCTCATGATTCATTTTTGCGAATTTATTTTCTTGATGCGTTTCAGAATGTTTATTCCTGTATTGCCATTTTCATTCTCACAGCCTCAATTGAACATTGTGATTGCACCAAAAGGCACGCACAGTACATAAGAGCCAATGCAAGAGTCAATTGATGCGCATAAGTAGCGCCACCTCTAATGATTACGGAGAGTTACCATAAGTCGTATGCAATTGATGTTGAGAAAAAGGAGAAGTAGACATTCTATCCATTTACATGGCAATAATGGCAATCAGTAGAGATGGTGCTCATGTGCCGATCATATCACTGTTACAACCCTTCGGATTGCACCTACCAGCATTCGTTGCAGTTGACTAACTGTTTGGTGTTGCACCGATTGGCCGTTAATTTCTCGAATTTCGTCACCAACATGCAGTGTTGCCTGTCTGTGAATCATGCCACCATGCATAATTCGGGCCACAATGCATCGTCCATCTTCTGTCATCTTCAACGTGATACCCTACATTTCAAGATTCAAAAAGCAAATTATGAGATGCAGGATTTGCATGGAATATGAAGATTATCTAGGCATAATGATGTGTACAATAGAAAATTGTTTCAAAACGGCTCGTTTAAATACAGAAACTAAAAAATGTGCAGCACACTGGTTGTCGCTTACCATTGGTTCGTCGGTATTTTTCTGGAATTGAACTAATCGAACGCGGGTGACGTGCTGAATTTCACCATTTTCAACACTGTCACTATCCTCGCCATTGATGTAACTGGGTATTGGTGGTGGTGTGACACGAAGCGCTTCCTCTCCATACACTTCTTTGGCAACGACATCGTGTGTGTGCAGCAATGCCTTTTCGAAATGAATATGATAATTGATATTATTCCATTTTGGTTATTGCAATGGATCCGAATAATAAATTGAATAATTGATTATTTTATTGATGACATTCCATCAATCGAAAAATAATGGCTTCCAATTTAATTGATATGTATATATGTACGGAGAGAGAGAGAGCGAAAAACTAAGATGTCGATTTGTCATGATGCACAAAGCATTATATACATATTTATTCCATCAGATTGTCAATGAGGTTGTTTCCCCATTTCAAGTTGGTTTTTGGGTTTGAATTTAATGCAACAAGCAGATTACATCTAAGTATGTGTGTATTGGTGTACAATGTTCTATTATGAGCCATTCACAATGTTCAATTTTAATCCTATCAAAAGAGATTAAAGTGATGCGGCCTCAAAAAGCAAGGCCCTCGTGTGTTCCATCAATTTTGCAGTTTAAACGAATTTTCAACTACATGACTGAGTGGTTGTTATTGTTGGGAATTCAATTCGAAATTCACTAACCAGTAAACATATGGGTGGCTTCACAAAAACAAAATGCACAAAATTTCGTCTGGGTTTGTTATAACTATAGTTGGAATCAAATGATGACGATTGGTATTGATGTATGCTAAATCATAAATTTTTCAAATTCTAAACGTGAATGAATGGGAAATTTACTACTTTGTCTTCGACAAAGTTGTAGAATGTAGATTTTGACGAGATAAAAGATAACGCAAAACATGTCTTCACCTCATTTGATTTCGAATAACCAGTGGACAAGATAAGCATGCGAAATTTTGCAAAAATTTCTCTGGAAAACCCATATGTTTACTGGTAATGTGAAAAAAACGAAATACCTTTTCATCTTATGTAACATTAAAAAGACCGTGCGCATATGTGCGCTGCCATTAATATTAAACGATTTTCAAGAAAATGGCTTTATTTCTGGGCCATTATATTCATTTGTACTTTTTGATTTTAACCGGCCTAAAAATTCGATTCGATGCCTACATAAAAATAATGGTTTTACAGATAGATATGTATAAACATTTTTATATATAGAGATAGAGAGAGAGTCATAAATAAAGCGTTAAGTTTCAGATCCCAGGTGTTTAACGCAACGTAATTAGTCCCGTTTTGAATTGCGAGATCCTTATTTATTTAAAGCGATTTGATTTCCAGCGGATAATGTTCTCTTCCACATACATACATGCTCAATTATCTCTCTCTCTCTCTCACACACACACACATTATCTCTCTCTCTTTCTCTCTTTCTCTCTCTCTCTTTCACATAGTCATCAACAAAAAAAAAATAGCAGCAGCAGTAGCCACACAGTTTCCCCGATGCCCGATGCAGTCCGACATGGTGATGATGTTGCATGTCAACACAGACACAGTCTTACAGTTAACATTAGCGTAATATACAATATTGTCTGTGAGACTATGTCTACGTTGAATGCGGTTTTCCTCTTCGATTTTGCATTGTTTTCCGATCGATTTGACGATGCCCAGTGCCCACACACACACTGTTATGGGAAACTGTTGCTATTTTGCCGCTCGCAAATTACACTAAATAAGATCATTGTGTTTCTTTCGTTTGATTTCACAGCATATTCATGGGGTAGATTTGTATATCCGTAACTATTGATGTAACAATAAATTTTGAAAAGGGAAAAAACGCTATTCTTAGCTGAGAAATAAGTTGTTCTCTCTCTCCCTTAAAAAATAATCCATTTGGAGTACCTCCCTCGAGCAAGCAACTAAGAACGAGAATTTTGTATTCTTTTTTTCTTCTCCTTGTTTCTGTTGTTAAAGATATATATCAAAGTGTCAAGTTCAATATTGAAAGTGACTTTTTGCCCTGAACCAAAAAACTTTAATTTTTGCAAACATTTGTGCTCACATCTTACGGGGTGCAACACAGCAATTTGAATGGAATGAATTTTTCTTATCGCAACTTACTACTATATATCGTTGACATTATATTTTTGTAACTTTTTTTTTCCATTTCTGCTTTGTTAAGCTTTTGTGAACGACCAACTTTTTTTCCCAATGCGAAGCAACGGTAGAGAAGAAAAAAAAAATATAATCGAACAGCACTGCAAACTTATACGTGCAAGAGAGCGAGAGCGAAAGCGAGGGGGATGTCAATTTTTAATCTTTTTATTGGAAATTCACATGTAATGTTGACAAGTTGTTATGTGTTCAGATCAATTTTGGAGTAATTTCAGTTATATGAACTTATCATATGAACACCTGCTAACAATAGAATCGATATAGAATGCGATTTTCTCTTGCTCGTGTTTCAGTCAACCTCCCACTCCTAAGGTGCAGCGCATGCGTGGGCGTGAATTCTTCCGCTAAGTCGCTATCAAGTTGTGTGTGTATTGTCGAAGAAGAATTTTAACTAAATATTTTTTCTTCGTAATTTCTCTTTCTTCTTCTTTTTTTTTTGATGGGAACCTCTCTTTCTCTCTCTCTCTCTCTCTCTCTCTGACCCTTCGATCAACAACAAACAACGAAACAAAAAATTTATAAACACCAAACAACTCTTCAACAATGCTGTTAGTAACAGCCACTTACTAATCGGTTAAAATGTGCTCGGAAACAGAGCGAATAATATTATCAAGAGGACCTCTCTACCGTCAATTATTCATAATAAAAATTATTTAAATGTGATGAACATATCTCTCTATCTGTCTTTCTTTCCCACTTGGTGCGCCCAATTTCAATGATTAAACTAATTATAAACGCTAACGCCTGCTTAATAAAATCACACTTAATTCACAAGATATTCATCCACTTTGTATGAAGCTTACTTTTTCCGGCCGGAACCAATTTTGTTTTTAATACGAGCATTTTATTTGAGTGGGACATTGTACAATTTTGCCTGCTCTCTGTGAGTTTTGAGTACCTATGTGTACCCGGGGTATTAAAGCACTCAACAATTATTTCTTATTCGAAATAAACGGAGAAGCACAAAGAAATGATGTGCGTTTGTATGTGTGTGTGTGTGCGTCGATATAACAAAGTTGCATCTTCGAAAAGATTTTCTTTTCCGTAAACTTATTCGAAAAAGAAGAAGAAGAAAAAAAACTAGAAATTGTTGTCTTTTTGTTTGAACTCGAAAACTTTTACGTGACAATCGACAAAAAAAAGAGAGTAAATAATTTGGTGTTGTTGTGAATGTGTGTATGTTTACCTGATGCCCAGAACAAATAGATCCATTTGGCACCCGACCACGGAATGGACTGTGTATGGGACATGATGTTCGAGGACCCCATCGTGATACTGTTGTATATGTTACGAAAATGGATATTGACATTGTTTTGGTTTTTATTATTCTCTGGTGTGTTCGGACGATTGCATTTTAAGGTAATTTCGGAATGCAAGTGGAAATGGCGACAGCAGCAAATTCTCCAATTTCACTTGGCAATTTCCGAATTGATTGGACGCAGTAATTGTGTACGTGTGTGCATTTTGTCGCACACACACACGAAACAACAACAACAGCAACCCAAAGAAGAAGAAGAAGAAGCAAAAAACACACAGAAACTTACCCCCACCGTTGGCGAACATAGGCGGCATTGGTGGCATAGGCAACATTGAACCGGTCGCTTGCATTAAACTACTTGGTGGCATTGCTGATAAATTTGCGCCGGCTAGATGGGCAGCAGCTGCTGCTGAATGCGGACAAATTGTATCTGCACAATTTGGTATTTGCCACTGACTACCAGTACCCGGACCGATACCACCACCGCCAATGACACCGCCACCGACGCCGCCGCCATTGCCACAGAATGAGTCTGTGGCAAAACTATCTTGGCTACCAGAGCATTGTAGTCGATGAGGCAGAGGTGGTGATGATTGTCTCGAGTAAATTGTTTTAAATTTTTAAAATACCGTGTGAAATCCTTGAATTTTCTTTGTCTTTCTTTCTCTCTCTCGCTCGCTCTCTCTTTGGCTTAACAATCACACTTCTTGTGTGTGCGTGTATGTTTGTTCTTCACAAGCAATCAGTGAGAGAATTTACTGCCCGTTCCGGATGGTATTCGAAAATTTATTGTTGGAATTTAACTGGTTGGCTGGCTGGCTGAATAGCTAGCTTGTTTTTCTTTTCTCTAGTCGAATTCACCGATGTTTTTCACTGCACATTCCATATAAATTCTATTGGATGTCGGAGAGCCCATACTTTTGCCGTCTTGCCGTTCGTTTGTCGTTTCGTGTGTTTATATCTTACAAAAAAAAATTCTTATTTTCTCCAAAAAAAAAGACATGAAACAACAAAAATTTGCCTCGATTTTTACTAACTTCTATTTATAGCCATAAAATTGAGTTATTTGTATTGCAGGATCACAGTGTAGATTTGTGTGTATGTTTTGCTTATTTGTTTGTTTGAAACCAACGATTTACGATTGCATTTGACATATTTTTATGTCTTCATGCGATAATTTGTTCTCTGCGTTCGTGTGTCAGTTCCATTCGGAATTGTTTCAATCACTTTTGGCTGTTGCTGTGTGTGTGTGTGTATTTTGTTTATGTGCTTTAAGACGAATTAACTTTGGGAAAAGATTGATTTATCTGCCTTGATTCGTCATCATTTTCATTTTATTTTATATATTATTTCCATCTTATCGATGTTTTATAACTGCTTTGAGAAGTTTCTTTTTTAAACACATCACTGTTTATTTCTTTTTCAAGGAGGTAATCTTCTCCTGTTCCTTCAGTTTTACATTCGGTTGTAATAGCTTTTGAAATAACGTTCAATTCAACTTATTTGGTTTTTTTTTTATTATTTACATGATGCTGTAAGTACGATATAAGCAAGGACTGTTTTAATATTTAATCGTAGAGAAAATGATTTATTATTCACTTGGTTTATTGGTAGTCAAAGTGAAGAAAAAATGTCTGTTTGGTTCCGTTCCCAAACTACTGTTCATTTTCAGGAAGTTTTTTTTTTCGTGGGGCCGGCGAGTGTGTATGTTAAAATATCCCCAGATATCAAACTCAAAATGCTGCTGCTACTGCTATTTATTCGTTGTTGTTGTGTTTTTTTATTTTTATTTTCAAATCGATTTTATTTCAAGAGGCGGTCTCATGATCCATTTTGGCGTAAATCGAAAATAATTTATTCATTCGCCATGAATATCTTTATTTCGGTGTGTCGGTCGCTGGCTTCGGATTTTCTACCCCGTGCCGAAAAGCAATACACACCGTACACAGAGAGTACAGAGCAGCAACAACAACATCAAAAAAATGGAGTTAATGTAGAGCAGATTTTAGGTAAATGTGGGTAAAATTGAAGTGATGGTGTCAATTATATTATCAAACAAAGGATGAAAAAAAAGAACAATCGAAATAAAATGGTAAGAGAACAATAGGAAAAACGAACCAAATCAAAAAATATGAGCGAAGAAATAGCAAAGAGCACACGTTAAACAATTAAATTTTCATAAATTTTACCAGTCATACACTTGGATTGGTAAAAAGTTTGTGTCATTGCTGCTGCTGTGTTTCGTCGGCTCGCTCTCTCGCTGTGTACATGTATATATGAATGTCCGAGAATGAAAACGCAACTTTTATTCACAACACATATAAGTGAAACAAAAATAAAAAATTTATTGAAATGAAACAACAAAATCGAATTTTTTCAAAGTGTAACAACAAAAAAGATTTTTTTAAAGTGTAACATGTTGTTACACTTACTACATACCGATGTTACACTTTAAAAAAATCTTTTTTGTTGTTACACTTTGAAAAAATTCGATTTTGTTGTTTCATTTCAATAAATTTTTTATTTTTGTTTCACTTATATGTGTTGTGAATAGAAGTTGCGTTTTCATTCTCGGATATTCATATATATATATATATTAAGTGATACTGCTCTGCTCTCGGCTCTTGTTTGACGTTCCTACTGATGGCGACTGAGCCTGCGACACTGAGCTATTGGCGTGCGAGAGAGGCGAATATTACGTGTTTATATAACACATAGAAACAGGAAACTTATGCACATGAATAGAAATTTTGGACATTTGTATAGACCTGAAAGCAAAGCAAAGCGAATGAAGACGAAGCAGAAAAAGAACGATACACAGAATGTATACGAACTGGAGTACCGAAATTGATTTGAGGAATGCCGTAGCTTTCAGTTCCATGACTACTGTCGATTACCAACTCTCAGTTGGAGTTTTGCGAATAAGCGGAGTAAAAGGTTTGCAAAGCATACCGAAATGAAATGGAACGCAAGAACGAGAAATAAATGGCATCCCAATGGTATAACTTCGGAATATCCGCGGTGTGTGATGCATCAATACCAAATCATAATCAAATATTTAATGGCATTTGAATTTCCATTGGTGAAATTATTACACACGCCTTAGAAAATGGCCAATAAAATGTTTGTAACAAAATCGTTTAATGCTTCTTCGGTTTCGCAGTCGCAACACAAAACACATACACACACCGAATCAAGCGTGAAAAAAAACGGCAACATCTAAATAGGATTTTAATGCGATTTTAATATTGATTTTATTAAGGTGCAGCAATAATGTAAATATTTTCGCGAATTTTTCTTTCTATTTTCGTATTACTGATTTGATGCGTTGCTCAAGGTCCCTTTTCAATTAACAAACGACAAAACCAACGGCAGCAAACGAAGAGGAAAAAAGTCAACTTTTATTTGCTTGATGTTTGCGATTTTGTTTTCATCTGCATGATATTTTAACATACACTCAACACAATTCAAGACAGTTTCTTTCTCTTTCATTTTTTTCATTTAAAGCTTCTGGTTGTCTCGCTTTTTTTCCCCCGTGATTTCTAATGTAAATTGACTGTTTTACACTTTCGACTAGCCAACAAACTGCTAACACTTTGAATATTATTACTAAATATTATTACATGTCTCGATGATGTGAAATACGCGTATGGTCCATAACCAAATGAATATTGCAACTAAGATAGTTTACGATGATGTTCCAATTAGTTCAGATAAATAAAATTTCGTGTACAGCAATACAACGCACACATAATTGTACTGAGGACTTTCACGTTCAACACATTCTCTACTATTTTCTCTGTTTCTTTTTCTTTCGTTTCGCTCTGTGTGTTTTTTTCTTTTTCGGGGGGATATATACCACTTGATTTTGGTTTCGTGATAAAAACGCTATATATATATGCGAGAGATGAGAGAGGAAAATATACGTAAAAACGAAGCAGCGAACGAAAAAAACAAATATGGCTGAGAGAGAAAGAGAGACAAAGAGGAGAAAATATATCTTTGTGTAGAGAATGGTTCAAGTGAGAGAGCAGAAAGCATATCCTAGATTTGGTCAAAAAGCTTTTTTGAGATATAGTCATGTTGAGTGTGTGTACAACGAAACAAGCAAACGGATAAAACAACAATACATGCATAGCACATTTTCCCACACACAGACGCAGTCGTGAGTGGTTAGTGGAATGATACATTTTCTACGTATTCGACTTACAAACACACACACACACACACACCGCACCACGGCGTCATATTTGGTATGTGTATGGAAGAAGCATGGATGGTGTGATGCGTACTGCAGCCGTCTCTCATTCACAGCCTCCACTTTCTTTGCAGCTTTTCACTCTCGGCACGCTCCCTCAGATAGATAGATGTATGTATATATATCCAGTGTAAAACAGCAAAAGAACCATCATTTAGTATAGATTTTGAGCTTGGCATACACAAACGCACACACACCCAAATCCTCATTCACATACACGCAACCCCATTTTAATGCCAGAGCTTACAATGCGCTTGCTCCCTTGTCAATGACGGTTCGCACAGCCACATAAAATGTTCTCTCGTATCCGATTTGCAGCATCTCTTGTCGTTTTTTTGTTGTTGCTCACATTCACGTGAATGTGTAGCTGTTTGGCCGCACAGCGCAATGACTGTGACCGACGACGGGGGAGAGGCTAAACGAGAGGCAAAAGCACCTTCATTGCTGCTCTTTTCGGCCAAAGTTATGCATTGCAGAAAATTGAAACAATATTAAATGGCATAAACACCTACACTAACTCAATGAAATATTAGTTGTCACTGATTTGGTGCACACACAATAAAAACGACGAATAATAGCAACAACTCCGTCGTTGTCGTCGTCGTCGTCGTTGGCATGAAGTCGAAACGGTATTCCCCGCATCACAAGACGCTTTAAGGACCGACACATACACACAATGTTTTGCATCACATTTTGTCGCCTCTAGAGCGCCACAAAGGATAAATCAACAAAAATTGCATCTCTTTTTTCGTTCACTTTGCTTTGGATGCCGTATACGCCAAAATTGGACACGGCAAACAACAAAAACAACAACAACGTCAACAGAAAAGTGTGTTTTAAATGTGAACATTTGTCCCTATCTTGCAAATAACGTTTTCTCGTTCTTTAGATGCTATGCCCAAGGGAATGAGCCCTACTTATTCAATTTTATGCATTCTCACACTCGGTTTATTTAATTTTTGCCTCTTATTTCGGCTCGCCTAATCTTTTATTCGTTTTTGTTCGCTCTCTCTTTTTCTCTTCCTTTTAAAACCGTTAAACCATATTGTTCTAGATATTTAGAATCGTTTCTTGCTCCGTTTAAATTCTACTTTTGACAGAAAAAAATATAAACGAAATGTTGAGATTGGAAAAAAAAGAACTTTTTTAATAAAACCCGGAAAAGGACCAAGTCCCTAATCTATTTTGTAGCAAAAAGCCAAAGTCAAAATTGAATTTCCATCCACATATGGATGAAAATGGAATAAAAAACGATGAGACAATATTTACCGGAGACAAGATATTTGTCGGTGTCACCGCGCGAAGGAAACAAACTTGAAGATTCATAATACATTCTACTTCACTTACCTGTACGTGTGACTGTGATAGTAGTTGCAACAATTCGTTCTTCTCACAATTGTACTTGTGACCAGGTGCCGAAATAATAGCTTCGATAGCATCACGACAACGTGCCACAGCATCGCCCGGTGGTGCTCGTGTCGGTGACATTACCGTACAACTTATTTTATCGTACAACTGTAGGAAATTTAGCCGAGAGAAAGAAGAAGAAAAACACACAACATTCGAGAGAAAATTATTAGTTTTAAACCGTTGCAAATAGTTTCATTTCATCTTGTTTACTATTATTATTATTATTATTGTTGTTGTTGTTAGTGAGGTGAAATTAGTTTTGAGCTTTATCGATTGGATTGAATTGAATTGAATTGAATAGTTTGTTCAATTATTGAGTTCGGTTTTTTTTTCTTTGTACCTGTAATAGAGCGCTTAATCGGTTATCGGTGAGCATGTCTCTTAGTATATCTTCATCAACATAGTCGTCTTGAAGAGCGTGAATATCGTCAAGTGAATCAAGAACTCTTTGCACAGCCTCCAAACCAGCCTCTTCATCCGCCCAATCGTTTAGTGTTTCCGATGCTACTCCGATTGTAACTGCAAAATTTAGAGCAAAAATTTATGTTTTACTTCACAAAATAACAATTTGCATTCAGCATTTTTGTAACAAATATGGACTTTCAAAGTCGTTATTGAATTGACAGACTCTAAAAAGATTAGCCTCTTTTCAAATCAACGGCCCGTGATAGTTTTTCTACTTCTTTTTTTTTGCTATGTGCAGCTGCAACGATTCTGAATCTTTGAATGGAACCATATCGCTGAAGTCATCCATTTTAGAGCTTCATGTATGACTTTGTCAATTGTGATTCGTGTAATTTACCTGAGTCTGTATCTGTGCAACATAGTGGTTCATTAGCCAAACCACCGGCTATTGCTTGAACTGCACCCTTAAGTTTCCTTCGAGCATTAAATCGTTTCAATTCCTCTACCGTATCTGCTAAATGTTGCTTTGGTATTTTTTCACGATCCTGTGGAATGCATTGAACACATCGATTTTTGTTATTCTTATTCGATTCATGGTAATTTGCTATTTTTCTGATTAGAAAAAGTCTTTTCTTTTCAAGAATGTGGTGCGTAAATTTAAATCAGTTTATCAAAGTGCTTGAAATTGACTCTGAAATTCCGTTTTCGTTTTATGTTTGTATTTATTTTCTGTTATTTATCGTTCACCATTTGATCAGTTATCTACAAAACTGTTTCTGTTTGAACAAAGATTCGTCGATTTGCCCGTATGACGTCTAACAATTGTCGACTCTAAATCATGGATTCTAATCAAATTATACTCTTCAAATGGGAAATTGAATTAAAGTCAGTGTCAATAAGCGAATTAAACTTCGTGTAATTCATTAAATCAAAGGGGAAGAGGGAGAGAGAGAGAGAGAGAGAAACCGCAAGCAAAATGCTACTGTTCGAAAAGTAATTTTTCTACCTAAAATCAAATTGAATTCTATGATGAATGGAAACCAGAAACAAAGGCCTAGAGAGCGAGCTTCTTTGTTTGTACGTTCGTTCGTTTGGCAGAAGAAAAAAAACTTTTTCTTTTACATTATTGTTCGCATTGTAATGCGTTGGTGTGTGTGTGTGTGTGTGTGTGTGTGTGTGTGTGTGTGTGTGTGTG